CATCATCACAGTCACAATCATTCATCATCATATCTTCATCAACACTATCATCATCACAGTCACAATCATTCATCATCATATCTTCATCAACACTACCATCATCACAGTCACAATCAGTCATCATCATATCTTCATCAACGCTATCATCATCACAGTCACCATCAGTCATCATCATATCTTCATCAACACTATCATCATCACAGTCACAATCAGTCACAATCAGTCATCATCACCAACGTCATCACACCATTACAATCCATCATCAGCAAAATTCATAAAACAAAAAGTTGTACCATGAATCCTTACCTCGCTGATGAAATTTAGACGGGTCATACTGCCTCTCCGAACACCTAGGACATTATAAAAATATTTCAAAAATCAGAAACACTAGAAAGACRATTGTTTTTGGTAGTCTAGCTAAAGTCAGTCCTGCACTTCTATTATGAGTCATCATGACCTTGGAAAACAATTAGTCTCAGGACTTGAAATGATGGCTGGACACCGAGCAACATCAGGCCAGAACTGGGACTTCTCCAGTCGAATCTTTGCCTTGTCAGTCATTTTGACCAGTAATGTTGACCCACAGTTAAAACTAATTTGGCCTGTGATGATGACTGGCGACTGATCAGCTGTTATTTTAAGCCCTGAGTTTATATTTTCTCACTAAATGTGTTTGATATTTTAACTTCAAGGTTCTTGAATATTTGGACTACTTACAGGTTGTACACTTTATAATGATCTTTGTGTCTGACTTCAAGAAATCTAGAAAAATACAAAAAAAAAAGAACATACATAAGATATACAACCGATGATAATGGACTAATTGTTGCATATTATTACCACATCACTGGTAAACAATGTGAGAAACACATGACTTCAACATGCTACGCTTTTATAATGCTGTTCTAAATGAATGAAGAAATAGAAAATGAATGAAGAAATAGAAAATGCATTCACGTGTTGTGTGTAAATTACTTTATGGATTGGCAGAACACTAGAAATATGTTATAGGAGAAGTTTGAAGTATAATAGGGGAAGTATTTCTCAACATTTCCAGAGTGTTTTGCCAATATCCAAATGCTTTGTATCTGCACACAGCATAGAAGGCATTTATTTATTTATTTATTTTATAAACAGCCATTATTTTGGAAAGGAATGAGGACATAGAAAATGTGCATGCCTCATAAAGCAAATCATCCAACCATTTAAAAAGGGGTGTTTATATAGTTATTTTATAATGAATATTGCATGACGTGATTCAGTTTTAAATGCAGCCACATATCATATATGTAATGTTAGAGTGCATATCATAGTAGACCGGTAGGACTACAAACCTTTGCACTAATTTGTATAATTATCTTAGTTAACTTTTTCACAAATGTATGGTATCCCTCTAGTATTTTTCATTAGTATTTGCACAATGTCCTTTATGTCTTTACCTGTATACTTGATCCATGTGATTACGATAAACACCTTCAATGTTCTCCGATGGAAATCCCATTGCAACTATATTGGGCTTGATATCTGGACTGAGTTAAGGATATGTGTATTTGTACAAATATAAAACGCATGCACATTCTGTGTGGAGTTATTATGCAGGGGGATGGGGAATCCACTTTTCAGAAACACTAAAATTTCAAGGCCCCCCATTTTCTCAATTATAATAATCCTTTTTTTATTAAAATATTTAACGTTCCCCTACATAGTACTTTATAAAATATTTGAGATATACTTTACATGCTGATGGGTAAGCTACCATGTTTATATTAAAGGACAGAGACACAATCATGCTCATCTACGCCTTGTGTTCCTAAGCTTACTCTTGTCATGCTCTACAGCTCCCAGCGCGTTTATATCATAGTACAGACATGTATGCACATCTTACATTCCTTAATAATAGCAGTGATGAAAGAAAAGACATTGTGAACACTGGTGCARAATAAATTTAAGGTAAGCAAAAGTTACATAATTTACTAACCAAACTAATTCTACTAACCAAAGAGGAAATGGAAGGACAGGGTTTTGTCAGCTAAAACTGTTACATGTCACCCTCCTTAAATAAAGTTAATAGTTGATTGATTGTAAAGGTAGCTTGTAAATGAAATCAAAATACAAAGTAATTATATGTTATCGTTAGAGTTACACTTCTTGTTTCCGGTCGAATCTTTGGTACACATTTGGAGTTGTGAAACAATTTCAACGGAAATCGAAACAGTCCCTCCTCGCTCGAATCAGCAAATGCGAGGCTACAAGACTGAAAACTTAAACCATAACTATTTCTATAACAAGCCAAAATATTTCAGCGCTTAAATTTTCACTTTCTTACGCGATTAAGAGGATATAGTCTTGTAATAAATAAGATAATCAATATAGTAAAGTCAAATAATGTGAGAACTTGGTCAAATATTGTTCGGTACCAAGGCGGAAGTAACCAAAAAAGTACAATTTTCAGCCTTCTGTCGTTTTTCTTAGTATAAAAAGTTATTAATATACATTATAAAGTATAAAAGAAGAAAGAAAACTAGGAATTATTTATAATATATATATATATATACGTTTCGGTATTTAGTGGTGTGATATTATAATCGGAAAGCGTGACATGTGAACATTTCAGACAAAACGTGTATCATTAACACAAGCAAAGTACGAAAACCAACTTTTAACACCTCGAATACATCAATAACACTTCTCAACAGCTTAATTAAAGCATCTTCCTATTAAATTTTTCAAAGGAGATATATTTTTAGTCTCTTGGGATTCGTACTTTGGAAGGAAAAAACGAGGAATAAATGTTCTCAGAGGTATTAGAGTTGCATTCTTGTACATATTAAATGAGCTAGAAAAATAGTTGTTTGGAGCGAATTCCACTCCGCAAATAAAACAAAGGATACAAGTCAAGTCCAAGTCGAAACCACCTTCCCTGAATCGTCTTTTCTTTTTGCTAACGAGCTGCTTGAAGTAAGACATCGTGTACAAGTCCAAGTCCTTTCAAAACTTTAGGAATTCCTAGTCAAATGTACACAGATAACGACTGCGTCGTCATTAGATTCAGATTGAATCAATCCAGCAGCTTGTTGTAGAGTCCACAGTTATAACTGTGTGGTCTTAGAGGTTATTCGTACCGTAGAAATACGGTGATTTTGGTGTCGAAGTCAGAACCCAGCTTCATCCGCCATGACAGTCGACAAGGAGGAAGATCAACCTTCCACTATACCATATATGGGCATGAASCCGAAGGGAGACTGGGGACACGATTGAAATATTTTGGGAGGGGAGGGTAGGAAGGGATACCATTTTTATTTACTTAAAAACGYCATTAATATTTAATCATAGTATAGAATATAACTGGGACAAGAACAAAATACCTAGGGAGGGGAGAAGTCAATACATGTGGCGTGCATGTCTTGTCATGAGAACAAAAGACATGGCCGCCATGTTGGTTGACATGACAAAAGACACCAAGACCAAATCTTTTGTTCAAGTCATCCAACATGGCGGCTATGACGTCTCRTGCACAAGGATAAAAGACATGGTCGCCATGTTGGTTGACCTGCAACAAAACAAACGGCTATGACGTCACACTTGACCGCTGATAAACACATACATATATCTGCYATCAAGGGGGTCCTCGATATATTGAATTCCCTATGCCCCCCTCTAAATCTGCCACTGCTTCTGGAGCCGATGTTCCCACGTTTGTATTCCGTGTGGGCAAGAAATGTCGTGTTTATTTTAAAACCAAGCGGAATATGAATGCGCCATCTTGGAGCCGGGTTTAGATCTTAAAGAACGACCACTAAGTTACGATATCTGAACGATGTGCGCGAAGATCAGCTAATATAGTTCATTCATATTTAATGAGTCATATATCTTCCGATGTTAAAATTCACACARKGCGGCGGACTTTGCGAAAGTCTAATAGCTTTTGACATGACCGACATGACGCTATACATATCCTAAATGCAAGATCTACGTCATTGGAAGGTTTAAAATTGCTAAGAATCATTTTGTTTTGAACATAAGACGAATGCAGTTGAGAAAGAGCATCCCRCTTCTGACACCAACCACAGGAAACCCATAGAAGAAAGGAGAAAAGCAGAGATGTTACTCATGTGTCAGCAGCATGTCTCAAAATGTAGGCGCAGTTATGAGAAATAAACCCGTCTAAAGACCTACATTTGATCCATAAATACTATTGACATTAATGGTATTGCGCCGAAACCTGGGCCATACTGATATTTAGGCCTAAAAATTTGGCAATTGCCGGAGTCTTAATGAACGTTCGGTTAAGGACGACACTTATGAAAGAGTTAATGATAAACCTATAKTGGATATACTTCCATTAGAATACCATGACAAATATCCTTTAGAAKTCTAATTTAGTTATCGCATAAAAACCTTGATGAGTGGTTCTGGGAGGGATCGATGGATAATGAGAAASCCATGCAATTTGGCTCCAAATCTATTAGCGCATCTATTCCAGTGTGTTGAGACTGCCTTTGAATGAGAATGGCTGGCAAAATGATAATGATCATCCAGTAGAGAATGGAAAGACATTTGTAACAAAACAAATCTTCGTCTTTTATAAAAGATCTCAGGAGCCGGGAAAATAAACAATAAATAAGGCAGAAGAAATTAAAAAAYGAACAGATGAAATGTYCGCGCGTTGAAGAYTCTTGCAGTCGCTTTGCAGTGAAAGTTAAAACCGTCAAATACTAATACGTCTAGCTAATGAAGATCCGAGTATTTAATCAGCGCCGCTAGAAATACTGGGGGAAAAACTGCGCAATAAGAGAGTCCGGCATATCTATCTTTCAATTACCGCAACGAAGAGGAAACGAATTATTTARAATACAGAATTAATTGTCTTCGGCCTTTGCCGAAAAACTATCAGAAGAAATTGAACAATGCGCTGTGTAGGGTTGCCGACGACTTAAAACACACATGACAGCTAATTTTTGCGGAGTTTTGTCAGGTACGGCTTCACATCCAAAGAAGYCATTACAATTAAATAACTCCATTTAATAGTGTATTTACATGCAACTACTGCCAGTGATATGTGATATGTTGATGCGTGCTCGCGCCAAGTAACCGCCGCCACTTTAGCAGACTAGTCAAAAGTGAGCATAAAATTGCTAGAAAAGTGAAATGGCTTTTGTTTTATTCGTTCCTCTCCTTTACATCACAATATTGACTTCAATTTGGCTTGGAAAAATTATTTTTAAAAAGTGAATTAAGCAAGCACTGTAAGACTTAAAACTTACAAATCTAGTCGTTAAGACTATAGCTAGCGGCTGTATACTAGTACTGTACAGTATGAATGTTCCGATGGATTGACGCGCGTCAACTTGCGTCTAAATGTTTCTGGAACACTCAATTCTGCATGTCATAAACCTCACTATATAGGAATATAAATCACTATTCCATTAGTCCGGCATCAAGTGTGACTAACTGCTTCCTTCGWTGTCACCACACTAGATCAAAGGCGATTAAATATACAGCTGACAATTGAAGTGAAAAGGACCACTTTCACACACAAAAATTTGGAATTCAGAAAAGGAGACTTTTGATGATATCAACCAAGTAAATGAGTCCGAATTTTCTTCTTTTTGCTAAGAGCTTCTTTGGTTCTCATTATCTTTTGCAGTTTGCCTTATGCTATTTGAATATTTTTGACTGCGCGCCTACAAGAGTGTTGGATCAATATCACAGGATGCTTTACATTGCCATATACGCTTTTCATAATTGGTATCTTCTAAGCCCTTACAATATTTGTAAAAAATTTGTTGAACGAAAAACTATAGAGAATGAGAAATACATATCCATGAAAAGAAAGGAATGAATTTWTTTTCATCCACAATCGGCTAAACCTGATGTATACTATGACTATTGATCAATTTTATGCAATAAGAGGCAGATGGTTTCGTAGACAAAAAAATGCAAAAATATATTTTAAAGGCTGACTTAAACTTAGTCTCTTTTGAGGTCTTTATCTACGAAAGACAAAGAGCGTAGTTCTCCATCAAGACTGCAAGTGTGCAACAAGACGTAGCTTCAGACAAGCAATCGTGGTTGGACCATCAGCTCAGATTACTCAATACATGGATAATTTGGTTGGATAAATGGGCGAAAAACTTCCATCATCGTCATTTTCGTGATTGACTTCCGGGTCGATATTAACATTGATAAGATTGTCTCTTTGAAACCTTTAATATTCGATGGATGATTRAGTCAGTGCATAGCGGCGCTAGACACTATTTTCTAATATTCTTCTCATTATGAGCCTATATCAGCTCGATTTTTTCATAGTAATGCGTTTTTGAGCGTTCGCGTTGTTCTAGTCTTCCATTCGGCGTCCTAACTACAGCCCAAAAACAATAGGAAAATAAATAAAGTAAGCACTAATGATATTCATAGTGCTGTACTAGAATTCCTAAGTAGTTTTCGCCATTGTGTTTTTTCACTGGATATTGTTCCTCTACTCGCTYGGTCATGCGAGGTTACATTTGTTTTCTAGAATGTCTTGATAAATGTTTTGAATTTACCAAAGTATTTTACCGCACAAGATCATACCATTTTCTTTCCCATTTACGGATCATATTTGAGTTTCCCCCTRAATATGGCATACAGATAATCCCTGAAAGGATGTATAAAAGCCAATTTCTTTGTTTGGTTATTCATCAAACAGACTCAGGTTAATAGTAATCGTTGCTTTCCGATCCCAGAGCGTTTGATTCCAAAAACATACAGTCTGAACAGGTGCCTACGCAGATGAAAACAATTCATTTGTCTTTTATTCATTCATTGATGATACATGCACAAGCGGCTGCGATTTTATTTCTTTCATTCAGTCTTTTCTCTTGAGATTCCTAGAATTTCTTTCTCAATCCACAAAGCTGTTTTGAGGGCTGCTTCGGCATTTGAAAAGCCATTTTTCAATTTTATTCATTTTGCGATGACGTTTATTCAGACTCTCGCAAGAAACCGCATTGGACACACGAGACAAGGCTTCCTTTAAGTTCGCTTCAGTAAGACTAGTATTTTTATCCTCATTTTGCCCTGACCAAGAAAGTCGATCGTCTGAAGGGCTTCTTGTAACATTCGCTGAGCCTTGTTCAGAAAAGTCATCGCGATCAAACAACAAATCTCGACTAACAGAGAGCCCCGTCATTGTCATTGTCGATAAATTTGATCCAATGTCGATCTCTGCACTTCTCATCATTTCATTACGCGAGGCGATCATCATATTTATATAGTCCATAGTCTTGTATCTTCGTGCCATGTTTGTAAGCCTATACCTAGACCACGCGCGTAAGATATCTGGGCAATCATCATAATAGACTTCTTCTTCCAAATTACTCGGTAAACTGCGCCATCGAGGTAAGTCAGACCAAGATAACTCGCTCTCGTTGTAGCTCCCAGTGGTTAAGAATGATGTACAAGAGAAACGGTCCGTTGCTAATGAAACACGAGACATCGGCTTCTTCATCCGAGATCTTCGCGGAAAACTAGCTACATTAGCTGGCGCTATGATCAGAGGAGGTGAGATAGAATCTTCTACCGTAGCCATTGCCGTGTCTAATAACGCAGAACCAAARCACTAAACGAGAGACCAAAAAAGAATCAATCACTTTAGAAACACTGACCTCGACACGAGGCTGCACTAGAAACCAAAAAACTAGCTACAGTCTTGAATTAAAGTTCGTCAGTTGGTGTGCCAAGTATCTCTGTAATCATCCTATGTGAAGTGTTCCTTTGGATTACGATTACGACGGACAAGCTTSACTGTGATGTCAACGAGAAGCCTTCTCATTGGCCAACAACGCTGATAATTAAATTCACGATATTCCTATTTGGAATTGCCTGTCTGTTGAGAAATATTGGTGCGAATAACGAGCTTGGTCAGAGCATAACCCGCAAGTTAATCAAAGACAAAAGATTTTCGCCTCAATRGCAAAACACTTAGTTGTTCAGTCGAATGTAAATATACTTAATTTTTGTTTCAACAGAAAAACTATCTGAGAGTGACAAAATTTTGACGTTACCATCGAATCAGTCATACAGGGACTTTATTAAAKGTGAAAGATCTCATTACCACAAGTTCTGGTAGTTTTCGAAAATTATCTTACTTGTAATTATTCAAATATTTCGCTTGTCTACTGACAAGATTTCATCAATTATTTATTCTCAGTCACTTTTCATTCAAATTATTCTACAAGTATAGAAAATTTGGATCCGAAAAATCAAATCCTATGTCACTTCGTTACCACACTTGAGCTATTTAAGGTCTGACACTCGTACCTGCCAGAAATATTGTTCTCTTAATTTTTCATCTAAGTTATTTTTATATTTATTGAATTGTAGAAATATTACTTCAAGGCATAAGTATTTAGACCGAATATAATAGTCTATAGGCACTAGTCTTYGGCTCTATTAGGAAAACCAAAAATTTCTGCATTAGATATACCAACAGATAAGAAGAGCAAGAAGTATTTACTGAGTCATGTAATTAATACTGCAGAATGGTAAATATATAAGTATGTTTTGCTGGAAGAAAAACAATGTTGGCTGAGGCGACTGAGCATTAATCATTTAGTAAAAGATAATATTGAGCAACAAAAAAGCAAAGATTTTTGGAATAAATTAAGTTTTATTAAATGCCCTAGCTATTTGTAAAAAAAAAAAAAAAAAAGTAAAAATAACAAGAAATGAGAGAACGAAAGATAAGTTGCTGGACACCAGGAAAGTACTGATATGGCGTAGACTCTTTGCCTCTAGCAGTTATTACTTCTGTAGTTTTCATTTAATAAAGTCAATTTTCTAAAAAGGTTTTCGTCACTTTTTGCCAGACATTGCCAGTCTTTTTAAAAAAATCAAGTTAAAAAAGGATTATTGAGGACTGAGGATTGAAATATTCGTATATAAAATATACATTAAGCCAAGATCGTATTTAGAGATATTTTCAGTCTGTTATTGATTAAGATATCTAACATCCTGAAGTAATATTCACAGTTATTTTATGGTCATCTATTAAAGCATTTTGTTTATACAGCCCTAATGTTAGCTTTTGAATATCATTCATGGCAAACCACATTTGGTCCTATTTATTCCTTTACTGATGAATAAATGATATCCTTATCTTTGAGGAGAATTTCTTTTTCCCTGTTATACTCAGTATTAAGCACTTTAATTAAGTCAGTTTTCAGAAAGMCAGCCTGTTAAGCTATCCTATCTATATATTAACGTATTATTTGGTAACTGAAACGCAAAGGATTATGGTCATGTCATTGTGTGACCTTTTTTGTTAGCCTGCGTTGCTTAGTGGTCTGCGGTTTTTGTTTTATTAGAAAGGGGAAATAAATAAAGAAATATATCCGCGCTGAATCCATTATCACGTCGCAATGAAGTTAAGATATGGGGTGAGATCCGCGACTGTGAYGAGGTAAACACCAGGCCTAGGGGAGGGTGGGTGGGGCAAAATTCGTTTTYCGAAGCTTCAAACGACGTTGTGCAATAAGTCATGTGCGTTGAGCTAATTYATACTGCTCCGTGCTAATTTATTCAGTGAGAATAGAAAATTAACTTATAATTTGATGCAAATGCCATGACTTGGGAACCCTGTTAAAAAAGTTGTCGAGTTCCTCTATTCTCGCACCCAGGTCCTTCTTATTCATGGAATGAGTAAAGACTGGGAAAGAGTTTGATTTTTCCCTTTAATGATTTATGTTGTTCTCAGTTTTTCCCTTTTATTTTTAGCACAGGGAGACCACGGGGTTGAATTCATCATTAATTAACTAACCCAAGCCATGCTTGCTTCTTGGTGAGGTCTTCTTATCATGACAACGACCGCTGTCCTGGCTTCTTTAACAACCAAAGTTCAATCATCAACAGACTGAGAATTCAAACTATTTATAGATCGTTCTGTGGGGTAAAGTTTCTGTATCTTTTCAAACTGTTGCTTCGCCATTGTTTTTCAATTTCCCTCCTGCGTTGTACCATTCTTCATACATTCTATCCTTGTATTTGTAATAATATATACTTGTCACGCAACATTAGGYTCTATTATGTAACAAATGTAATATGACTCTCTCTCCCCTCTCTCTACACACATTGTATCAAGTTAAGCACCAGAATAAGTATGCCGAATTAATCATCATTAAAGCAAGCAATCATAATCAAAGCCTCCACTAAATATCATGACAGTATTGTCTTCTCAACCATTTTCTACTTCATGTTTTCTTTTGCATCACAATACACACTTCGTCTTTGCTCTTATAAAACCACTTTTTTGTCACTTTGTAATCGCTTTTGTTCATCAGTCTTGTTCCTTTCGCGAATTCACGTTGATTTTGCGCCGATTTCTTCAAAGTGGTACGCAAGGAATTCTCTCCAGCGTCCCATTTTACGCGTTTCATCTTTGTTTTTCTTTATTCTATTTTTCTTTCAATTTTTTTTTCTACCCTCGTAGTCATTGTGTTGCGGCCCACACTTCTTGAACGGTAGTCTTGACATTATATCCATTCTCGACTTGTTCTACGGTTGCTACCCCACGTTTCCTTGCCGTCCAGAGTTTTTTCTAGTTTAGAAAGCAAAAAAAAAAGACGGGAAAACCTCTCAATCGCCCCACTTGTAGCTCAATATTCACATCACGTCCTTTAGTCATGCCAAGTATTTCAGCGTAACGGAAAGGAATTCACTTTACGGATTTATAAATCATACAAAAACGAAAACAACGTTAGCAAACCAGAACAAAAGTGAATMCGTGGTGCTGTGACTTCAATAGCAATTGGCGGGAGACCTTACAATCAAAACTGGTTATGACTATGACGTCTCTGAACGGTACTTGATTCGTGTCGAAATAACTTGACTACTGTTGCGTATGCTCTWGCTACGTAGGAACACTCAGACACCACTTTGGCCGACCAACTGCAACAATCGACTAAGGCGAACTTTCATGATAATGAAAATGCCGGTTCTCTTAAGGAAATAAGATAAATATACTTCTAAAAGAATTTGGAATATTCTGGTAAGTATAATCGTAATAATAATAATATAATATTTTATTTTGTAGCCTAAAAACTTTGGGCAAAATTATTTATGTAAAACCGGCTGCAAACTCACTACTGAGCACAAATAACACCAAGATGTAGAATTACTCTAGCGACTAAAAATGCGCTTAAATCCTCGGATTAAAAACAATTTTGAAGTATAAAAAGCTTTTGGGAAGCTTCAGTTATTTTGTGGAATTTAAAATCCACTGGATAGTTGAAGTATTTTTGAATTTAATTGGAAAGTTTGGCGAAGTAATTACAATGGCGATGACAATCACGACCGGAAGGCTCTTTGGGCAATCATGAAAGAAAGCGGAAATCGGAAAAAAGACTATAATTTATGAAAATAAATTCTCGTATCTTTGGGCTTTATTTTTCAGCTTTATTTAATGAGTTTTTTTATACCACTATCTTATCAAGTGAGCCGCCATTATTCACCAATATAATCGGCAATGGCAGTGTTCAGTGATTTAGATTTGTTCAGCTCAATAAATCAAATTCTTATTCATCCAAAGTAATTCCCTAATTAACCACCACTCCTTAACTTGCTAGACCTGGTTACACTAAAATTGAAATTAATTCTTTATCTGTGGTTAAACTTTGAGTAGATTTACCTCACACCTCTAAAAAGTTAGTGTCAAGAATACTGAGATTACACGAAAAGTAACCATACACACTACTTCATCTCTCTGTACATAAAACTGACCAAGTAAATAGAAGACTCTAGTTGTTAATGGACTCATTTCCATAAGTGCTTGAATCACATGAATGACTTGGACTACAGTACTTAGGGGAACTTGAACAATTTGTCCACTGAAGCCACCCGGTGAGTGAACTGAATTCGTGGCTTCTTCCGCTGCGCGCTTGTTTTTGGCCCGTAGCTGTTTTCTGTTCGGCAAGGTTATTTTTTATCTTTTGGATTATAAATATTTAAACATAGATCAAAAGCCTAAGTAAACATGCCAAGAGTAACATAAGATTTCATGCAGGACAATGACACTTAATTCCTCAATGATTTTTTTATCATTTTAGATTTGACGGCTTCTCCGTAAAGAAACRAAACCGACAGAGTGCTTTGCGTTAACTGAAGACATGTGGAATGCTACTAACTGAGTCAAAGATATTTWAAAAACAGTAAGAATGAAGAAAAGTCACCATCGTAAATCAAGTACCGACGTAATCCTGAGAAAAGCTATCGAAGACAATGATATCGCACAGGTGAGATTCGTACTTCGATTCGAGAGTGACAAGATCAATGATCAAGATCAGAATGATATGACTGCGCTTCACTGGAGCTGTATTCATGGTCGACTAGAAATCATCGGTGTTCTGCTTGACCATGGTGCAAATATGGAAATCYGTRACTCAAAAGGATGGACAGCTTTGCATTTTGCAGCCAAYGGAGGATTCCTTGATGTGGTTGAGYTGTTGTTGGCAWCGTACGCTGATGTCACAGTAACTACCAACGATGGTAAAAGTGTAATTGATGTTGCGATGGGCGAAGGGATGGTATTTCTGCTTGCTACAGGGTTTATTAAATCAGGGAAGGAGGATTTACTTCTACGATACTTCAACGATTCAACTACTAGTCTTCATTCTATAGATGAAGGTGATGAAGACAGCCTTGTTTCTTCATCAACACAAAGTGAACTTTCGCGGGAAATATGGCGAGCAAGTCAACATTTGTTGACAAAGTCTTTATCGTTTAGTATCAGCTCGAAATCAAATCTGAAAATATCGACCAGCGAGTATGTGATTGCAGAAAAAGTTGAAACACTAGAAGAAAAAGAAAAAGTTTCACTGAGAAAGAATTCAACTCCTACTATGAATGCTGGACATTCTTCAACCACAAAGAAGCAAAAGCTGAATAATTTTGATTCCTCGTTTTCCCCGGGCGTCCTGAAAAGACTTGCAGTAAGTGAAACTAATCTAAATAAATCGCAAGAGAYGGATAGTAATAATAACAACAGAGACAAAGCTACACCATGTGGGACAATCAATCGGACATCTAATTATTACGCGCTCAATACTATGGAATCAGACACTCAAATAGCTGGTGAAGCCGAAAAGATGTAACATGGATGTCTCCGATTATTTGGTCTTGTTTTTTATTATGAATCGTTGAAAACAAATGATTTTGAAACACAAAAGCTTTAACATGAAGTAAAAAAACTGAGAGTTATGTCTGAGACGGCTTAACCGCGAAAATGCGATTGGTTTGTGGGCAAGACAGTCTGGATGTTAAGAGATATAAATGGTTGATAAACATCCATGATAGTAAAAGATAAATTGAGGTAAATGGATAAAGAATGCATCTGTCTTTTCCTTAATGGTTTCCAAAACGCTTTGAAAAACAAATATCTGATATCCCATATAACTACCGCCAACAGAACAATTTTGCTTGATTCATTAATAAAGAAATAATTACAAAATTCTGCGAAGACAGCTAGCAAATGATGGGGAAAAGATATCAGTGTCAGAGAATATCAGGAAAGGATTTTTCCATTAGCAATATAGGCATCAATACTTGATAAGAAGCTTGGAGAATCTTTCTAGGATTGATTCAATATTCACTGCCATGTACGTGTTACAGCGAAGAATTTGCTAGAAAAACAAACGTAGTCTTTGTGGGACAGTTAGTATAAGAAGAACAAATAATGAACGATGTTTGTGTCATCTTCAACGACATTCTTAAGACGAACCGTGACATGAAGAAGACAAATTGGAATAGCACGACTCTTTTTGCTCCCACAATTAATTCAGGATTAAATTAACGACTCTATGATGATTTTGCTGAATTCTTTCTCCTTATGCTTTTTAATTTCGCAACGAAAAAAATCATCTAAAATCATCTATTAGGTATTCAATTTTTGATTTTAGTTTACGTTTGGGAAAACTGTGGGGGRAAACGCCATGAGCGATGTTACTTGATGTTAACTTGTAAACTCTKCATTTCCTTGCTCTATATGTTCAATGATATATATGTACATAGATTAATGTTATACTAGATTAAGAGTTGAATATTATGTGTGCAAACACTGAATTTATTTTCTGAGCTGGCTGACCAAATTCACAGCCTTGCGGGAACAAGAGTTGGTGAATGTCGTGGTGTTTCGGCAGAGAAAAATTCAGAAAGAGTCAATTTGGGCCTCAAAATATCTTCGTAATATGTGGTGAATTCATATTTTGACTAAATCTATGRAAAAAAAATACAAATTAATAATTCATTAGCGGTAGAAACAGCATATATTTTTTTATGATAAATAAGTACAAAAGACGTAACATTAATACAGTGTTCTCCCTGGATGATGAGCGAGGACGACAGTAGTAAACTCGAAGAATTATATGAAAATTATTGTTATTATTATCATGTCAAATGAATACGAAAATATTGTAAAATATTAATGATTATTTTTCCACAGAATTCGTTAGTATCTGGTTGTACCAAAATAAAAGTAATCATAGATTTATCATTGTTTTTTGTTTACAAATAAGTTTTCATCAAACTTCACTGATGTCCAGAAAGGGATGGCAGAAAAAGACCCTTACAAGCACGGTTAAGGCGAGGATATTTATTATTTATTTATTTTTGAAGACTCTCTCTGGCATTTTTTAATTGACTGAATGTCAGCACTAAATCCTTTTACAATTACGACTTTCAACCTTGGTAATTTCAATCTAAAACGAAAAATTGAKGTTTTAAAATTAGATTTTATGGAACGAAAATCGTACATTATAATGAACAAATAAATAAATAAATAAACTTGGATGATTTACGGTTGATCTCTATTTGATAAACCTTTTTCAAAGATTTCTATCAACTTTGTTTTTAAAAATATCTACCAATGTTCTTAATTTTAGAAATTTGAATTTATCTKGTATAGCAAGCTGACTTTTGACTTTAGAGACGTCTCTTTGGCGAAGTAATAAGTAAGCTTAGAGATATTCCATTGTTTTATCTGCTGCACTTCACGTATTGTGCCATCCTCGAGCGAAATATAGATGCCGCGAGATACCATTATTTCCCTAATAACATATAAACTCTTACTTATACTTTATTTTCCTCTGGTTTTGCTGAAAACTTTGATTCGTTCATGGAGAAACAAGAGCAAACGAAGCCGCCAATATTGTGGAAGTTTATCAAAACGACAGAAACAAAAAGAGYTCTTGAAGAACCAAAAGGGTTTTTAAAAGTGAATAGCTTTGCAGCGTGCGGGCTTTGCCTTTTGATGTTAATTGGTATTAAGTGAAAAATATAAGCACCACTCAGTAGATTCTTTTGTTGGGATTAGATTTTCTATTGTTTGGGAGTTTAGACTATAAGTACAGAACATAAAAAGCCTCAAGCATTCTTGAGATAGTTTGTTTACATCGTCAAAAGTTAAATCATTTCGGAATTTTCTAAAATCTACTTGTTTCTGAAGCTAAAAAGAAAATATTTTGAGCCCAACTTTACAGACTTCCTGTAACTTAATGAAAAATAGTATTATTCATGTTATGTATATTGTTTTTAAAATTCTTTCTTCGATTCTTGGTTTGTTTAGAGGCGATTGGACCGCGAATGATTAGCATCTATCTATCAGAACATGACTAAAATATATTTTGTACATGATTATAGCTTCGTTAGAAATTTCGATTGGAAAATTTTCTTTCTATTTGAAAAAAAATATCTATAAAACGAAAGGAATCAGTAAAAATAATGCACACGAAAAAGAGAGTATCACGGGCGCACGAAACCCAGAAATAATAACAAGAAAGAAAAAATCAGAAACTATCTGTAAACAAGAATGCCACGAACATAAATCAAAAATAAATCTTCGGTATGTCGTATGAATGAGTCACCACATTCTACACAGCATATTTCAGGAGRTTTTCCTAAAATGATTTTTAAAGTCAAGAATTGCGCAGGGTGGTGACGAAGTCATTAACATCTTTCTGCATCTTTTAAAGAATGACTCAATAGAAAGAAGAATTAGGTCTGAAAATCTGATCGATCCGGCTAAGRTAAGACTAATTATTTTACCGATTTAAAACCGGGTTGCTTAGAAAAACGGCAATAAGTTAGAGTTTACATTCTTTGGGCCATTCATTGGTTGTCAGTGCGCATGCTTGTATTCCGCTGTGCTTACCTGGGCCATCGGTTTACTTCCGGTAGCACTTTATCTCCGCCTTATCTTTCAAAATTTCATTTACAATAAGCCTGAAGCKAGATGACGTTTTACCCCCGTCTCTAGACCATAATCCTTTTCACATTGCTTTTGTTYTTTAATTATGACTATTGTTCCTGTATTCTCTAAGGAATMAAAAATTTTAATATGAAAGAATTTTAGAAACTATTATGGTATAGAGTCGGGGGTAAAACGTCATCTCGCTTCAGGCTTATAGATAGCAGTTTTTTTTTGATTGATTAAATCAAAGGACCATACTTCCAGACATCGAGTGCTGAACCGTCGTATGGCAGAGCGAAGCATTTACRGCTACGCCGGAGATTTCGACCCCTACACYGCTATCCGAGGACTTACAGAATGATCAGGAAGCCTGGCCGAAGCCTAAGGGAGAGGTTAATCGGCCCCTAKACCGTGGATGATTAACTCCTTGCTATGACCAGCATGCCCGAAATACCGATTTTTTCGTCGATGACTTATGATCAAGAGATATTCCTCTCCATGTGGGACGCCTTGTGAGTGGTGACGTATATTTCAAACAAACTCGGTGAAATAAAAAAATAGTACTAAACTGCGAAAGTGATGACACATGACATAAGTCATGACGCATGCGCACTATTACAACGGAAACCAACCTGTAGCAAATAATCGCCATAACCACTGCGCATGTCCGTTACGAACTGACAGATAAAAGGCAAGCTAGATCAATACGCTCACACTCAATAAAAATATACCAAAGAACACTTAACAGAAGTATAAACAGCCGTTGAACTGGCTTCAACCAATATATAGAAAACCAAATACAACTCGAATAGTCAATCAAGGGACGTCCTAATTTAACTAACCGAGCGTTCTAGGGAATGCTGGAGTATAGCSCATCGATCTTATTCCCAATAGGAAGGACAGTTACTGTTGGGCATGGGGAAAACGGAGTATTTAGATTTTCTCTTTAAAATATAATTGCTTTTGGTTGTGCGAAATTTGAACTACTCAAAGTTCCATCCCGGACAATAGTGTAATCATAATTTTATCAGACCTGAATCTTTCAGCTGAATAAACCAACCAGCCGCCCTCCGGCAAGAGTTAATTTTTTTCTTGATGCATCTAATTTTAACGTATTTCACACATCGTCCCTAAAGCATCAAGATCTTTACGCAAAAGTCGATCACTCAGTAAAAAGGACTGGTTTTTTACAGCTGTACCCATGGCGGTTGTCCGGCTTTTAGTTGCTGTTACTATCGTTGGACTGGTCCAATCGATACCTCTAGAAAGCTTCTTTAAGGTATGAACAACTGAACACTCCACACAACGCAGTRTTTGTAGCGAAAACTATACTAGAAATTTGATTTTATGTTTAACGCCGGAGGCATCTTTCTGGCAATATTTCTAACGAATTATTTACAATCAATTTGTGAACGATTAGCTCATTGAGCGGTACGACTTGGTATGAACATAGTTAATAGTTGATATCAACTATATGGTATTAAGGAGACATAGAGATTTCAAATATGGCAAGCTACTTTTTAGGGACCCTCAACTGGAGTGTCTTATATAACTTTTAATTCTACTGGAAGTGCAATTCTTTTAACTTTGTGAAACCACTTTGAATGTATTTTAACGAGCAGGAAGACGATGACAGCTTATTAGTTAGRAATATTCGAGCTCCAAAGAGACTCAAGTCTAGTAAGTATGGCTGCATTTCATCAAAATATTTACATTTCTTCAATCAGTAAAGAAAGCTTTGTGCACTACAGCAAGACATAAWGAGTCTATTTTGTTCATGTGAATATTTTAAACTTGTCATAGAGGGAATTGAGTTGAGCGAGTTATTTTTGATAAAGTTGATGTGCGCCATTTTTAGGTTTTGACTGTTTGTTTAGTTGTTCGAAGACACAACACTGCGCAACCTCGTGGAGCATGCGCAGCATGGAAAAGAAAGGAAGAAAGAAAGAAAGAAAGAAAGAAAGAAGGGTGAATGGACTAAAGGAGGAAAGGAAGGAAGGAAGATAGAGAAGAAGGAGAGAAGGCACGTATGCTTGAAATGCGCACACGCACATGCGAATTAAATATCCTGAATTACTTTCACGCATTTGAAGTTAATTAAATTTAACAACTAAAGTTATGCATAAAAAATGTACTGATGTCAGACTGTGGGAGTAATCTACAAGGAAAGACTGGAGAAGTCACCTCACCAGGTTTCCCGTCCCCCTACCCCACGGGATCTACGTGTGTCTGGACGATAAGAGTCGATTCCAAGAGCGCGATTGMATTGAATATCAAAGAGATGGACATCGAACGAAGCAAGAAGTGTCGATACGATAGTCTAACGATGTATGATGGCGCTAATGTAAGTTGAGAGGTCTATGGTCACTTAAGAATATTATTAGCTTATTATACATGCATACCTTATGATTGTACCTTGCAATACGCTTCTCCTATCCTGCCCTTCGTTTGCCATACCTTACCATACC